TGATGGGTAAAATTAATGTAAAATGAGATGGAAACAGTGGCAAGAGAAGAAGGAATTCGGATGGGTGAGTGAAGACCAAGGAAAGTGATTGTAATAGGAAGTCTGGTAACCAGATGGAGAAAGAACATTTGAGGTGGATAAGGAAATCATCTAAGTATAGGATTAGAGATATTAAAAGTAAAAGTGGGTTTAGTTTGGTGAATAGCCTTTTGTGGTATAAGCAGAAGCTATATGAAAATGGTGCCAATATAGTTTAGCTATATGGAAATGGTGCCAATGAAAAAATTGTTTACAAGTGACAGAAAAAAATGATACTAATTCATACTAATGAATTTAAACTTTGGGGGCACCTGGTTGGCTCAGTCAGTTAAGCATCCAACTTTGCCTTGGAGTCATGATCTCCTGGCCCATGAGCCCTAGGTGGGCTCTGTGCTGACTGTTCAGAACCTGGAACCTACTTCAGATTCTGTGTTTCCCTCTCTCTCTACCCCTCCTCCACTCATGCTCTCTCTCTCTCTCTTTCTCTCTCTCTCTCTCTCTCTCTCTCTCTCTCAAAAATAAACATTTAAAAAAATTAAACTTTGGTCTATAGTCAGTAGGGACTATAGTTTGGGTAAAAGTAATAAATAACTAGACTATAGCAATAGATAGAAGCTTGTAGAAAATTGTCTAAATATATGGATTAGAAGGGAATTGGCTAATGCAGTTCTGTGGTACAAAGGGTGAGAGACATTGGAGCCACGAATGGCATAACATTTCAAAATGTATACATAACTATAGGTAAAATATAGACCTGATGCTATCATCCAAGGTAAGAAATCAAGTCAACAATTGGGGAAATACATGACCATGATTTGGAACATAAGTTGATGTATCTATGGGATCTCATGGACAAACAAAAATAATGAACTAAAAATAACCATCAAGTCTAGAGAAAAATGTTTGGAAATTATCATTTTGAAGATGGTAGTTGAAGCCAGAAAAGTAGATAAAACCATGTAGGGAGTGTGTGGAAAAGAGAAGACTGAGAGGAGACCACTAAAAATGATAGTACAATTCAAAATGGAAAAAGAAATCCAGTTCAGGTAGAAAATAATATACAAGTAGGGAACCAGCAGGGTCAAATTGGTGACTTTAGACCAAAGAGTTTAAGGAAGGAAGATATGCTGAATATGGTGAAATGCTACAGAAAGGACAAGTGATTTAGTACTGGGGAGACCAATGGAATTTTTATACCATATCCTAGATAGATTTTTCTTTTCAATTTCCCTTCCTTGTAATATTTTTATTATGATCTACAGTTGAAAGACATACAGTGTTGAGTTTTATATATCTTGATTTACTTATTTTAATCTATCAATAATTGTTGTAAACGAAAAGTGCTTTCTAAGTAGTTAATGGTGCTTAACTTCCCACTCTTTGTCTACAGATAGGAGCCATTACTAAATAGCAATCACTTATAATCAATGTAATAGTAGTAGAAAACTTTTACAAAGCTTATATCCTGCTTTTAATCTTTTCATATAAATATATATGTAAATACCTATTTAAGAACTATAATTATATATATGTATATATATATATACACATACACATATCTATCTATATATATAGATATATATATATATAAAGAATTGTAGTATCTTAATCTTTTCAAAGACAATGATATTTGATGTGTTATGTGCACAAACCCCATTAGATTAAACTCCATGAGATTTAAGGATCATGCCCTTCATTTAGTAGAGTATTGGCATTTAGAGGGGTCACAAGTGTTTTTTAAATACTTAAGTAAATGAAGCACTAGAAACAAAGAATGGTATAGCAAAAGATAGATGAAGGAATAAGAGAAAAAAGGGATTACACTGGAGGATAAGGCTCATATAGATAATTTAAATTAACATGTACTGCTACTAAATAATTGAAAGTTCAATAAAGGCCTCATTAATTATAACTCCCTCTTTCTCTTCTAAGGGATCATTCAGTTTGAAGCTGGCTGATATTTTACCTTTGCACTATTTATGAAGCTTTGTTTTGCTAAGTAAACTAATAATATAAAATTATTTCAAGAAGTTTATTTAAAACTACTCATGAAGCAAACTTTTTAAGGACTTTATGCTTTAATTATTAAATGAAAACGAATGCCACAAATTATTCATGTCATTCTTTTACTAAAGTTAATTCAAAGATATCGCTCTTCAAAAAAATAAACGTATCTAAATGCAAACTATGTCCTGTTTCTCATAGGATTGTAAAGGGTTCTTTCAATTTCCTTTAGTCCTTTAGCATCCTACTGTAATTATCACCACATCACTACCACCTTTATCAGTATCATTATGATATTTATTACCATTAGTCTCATCATCAATGCCATTAATATAATATCACCTATGTGGAAGACATTGGACAGTTCACAACATCTCTATGAAGTATATGTTATTTAAGTCTTTTAGATATGGTAACTAATCCTTTGGAGATTAAGATGCTTAAAATGACATAATTATTAAGTGGCAAAGCCAATATTTAATCTATTTCTATATTGACTGCCTGAAATGCCTCCAAAAAAATCCCACGAAATTAAGTTTATTAGATCTATTGCAGTGAGAAAGAATAGCATCTTGGGGCATTGGGTGGCTCAGTTGGTTAAGCCTCCCACTTCTGGTCAGGTCGTGATCTCACTGCTCTGTGCTGATAGCTCAGAGTCTGGAGCCTGCTTCAGATTCTGTCACCATCTCTCTGCCCCTCCTCTGCTCACTGTGTCTGTCAAATATAATATAAAAACATAAAAAATTAAAAAAAAAGCATTTTGACTAAATGTATTAGTTTCCTGGGTCTACTATAACAAAACACCACAGACTGAGTATGCAGACATACATTATTCAAAGTGGTATCAGAGTTGCTTCCTTCTGAGGTCAGTGACAAAAAATCTTCCCCAAGCCTTTTGCCCAGCTTCTGGTGGTTTTCTGAAAATCTTTGGAGTTTCTTGGCTTGTAGAGTCATCACTCCAATCTCTGTCTTCATGTTCATATGGTTTTATCCCTGTGTGCACAACTATCTCCAATTTTTCTCTTTTTATCAGGACACTAGTCATATTGTATTACAGAACTATTCTACTCCAGGATGACCTCATTCTAAATTAGCCATCTGTGATTACTTATTTTCATATAACATCAAATTCTGATATAATGAAGGTTAGAACTTCAAGTTATGAATTATTCAACCTGTATCACTGAGTATTAGTGGACTCTCAAAATGGGGAAATTAGGGAAGTACTTTTATGATATTTTAGATTGAGTTGTGTGATTTTATGGTAAGTTTTATAAAGTAGGGTACTGATTGCAACTGGGTAGACTTTCTGACAATTTAGTTTTAGCCTGGAGGGCAAAATGAGAAGAAGAATATAAAACAAGTTTTTATAAATAAGCTATTTGTCTAGATATTTGGTTGATTCATGGTCTTATTATCCAAAAGTGGATATATACTGGAGAAAACACCTAAATTACTTTTGTTTGATGACAATCTTGTTGAAAGTAGGAGGCAAAGAGTATGCCTCACTATAGAATTGTTTAATTTATAGGAAATTGCTAGTATGTTGTTTTAGTTGTCATCTATGTGACTTCAGAGTCCATCAACAACATCATCTTAACTTTCTTTCTCATCATTGGTGTATCCCAAAGTAGTCTGTTCTGGATTGCTCTAACAGGTTTTTTAAAAAGTTCTAATATAATTCAGTTTAAATTTGTTACTCTGTTGTAGTCATTGATGGTTAGATTGGGTTTAATCTTCATTCTCCATGATAGCCTTCAGAAAGATAATCTATCATTCAATAGTCTACATACATACATGTATCCTTTGCCTACCCTTCTATTTTCTAGACAAATCCTAGTTACTTCAGATTTTCAAGTAAAAGCTATAGTTATATGGTAAATAATAATCATCTCATGGGATATTAATATCATTGATAACTACAAGAGCATTACTTGCTATAGTGTCTTAGTCCTTTCAGAGTGCTTCAATAAAGTATCACAGACTGAGTGGCATAATAAGGAATAGAAACTTATTTTTCACAGTTATGGAGGCAGGAAGTCCAAGATCAAGATGCCAACACGATTGAATGAGGAATCTCTTCCAGATTGCAAACTTCTTGTTCTATCCTCACATAAAGAGAGGGGCTAGGGAGTTATGTGGAGCCTTTTTTTTATAAGGGCAGTAATCCCAGTTACAAGGATGGAGCCCTCATAAACTAATCACCTCCCAAATGCCCCACCTCCTAATATGATTATTTTGGAGATTAGGATTTCAATATAGGAATTTTTGATGAGCATAAATATTTAGACCATAGTAGATTTCAACATTTTCAGCATCCTGTGTCTTCTTACATACTGAAATTTGTCTACAATGGAAGTACAAAATGACTAGTTGTTTTCCCTGATTAATTTCAACCATCTTAACACTAAGATTCTGATACAACCAGCATGCTATCATTTTATTGTCAGCATTTAGAGCCTTGAGACCAATCTAAGCAAAATATCTTACTATTGATTTGAAGTGAGTTTTTTAATACTTAAAATATCATGCATACTTTTGCCTGGGCTTTTTTATATGGTAATCTTGTTTATCAATAACATTCCATTCTAACAGACTTGAAACATAAGATTTAATATATAAAATAGAAAAGGGGTTTCAGATATGGGTTTGTCATTAAGGTGTCTTACTCTACATATAAGTCTGCATTTGAAAAAAGAGGGGTTCTGCAAAGAATTATCTCTTCTGAATTAAAAGAAAAATTTTGTAAATACAGATAAGGGTCATAAAATTCTACCCATTTTAATTTATAAGTATTCTGCAATTGGTTAATTAGATCAGTAGAATGAAGGCCAACAATCAACAGAAACCTTAAAGCAATTTAGAGTCCTTTTGACTCTTTAAAGAAAATCCAATAAGCACTTGAAAAGCAAAATCAATGAAGAGTTTTAAATGTTTTCTTTTCTGATTTTCCACAGGGTCCAAGTTTTCTCTCTGAGGCTCTTTTCCTCAAACGTGCAACAAAAATTGAAGAAATGGATCCTTTTTTCCACCTTCATGAAACCATTACCAAGGTAGGAGAGAAATGCATTCATGACCCAGTTGGGCAAGTTTTGTTCTTTTTTATTGGTAGATGGAGAAAAGTAAAATAACTGATCAAGAGAAAATTTATGCTTTCATTTATAAAACGTATTTGAAAGGATTTTAAGTACCTCCTATTATTTTACTAAGAAGTAAGAATGATAAACTACTCAGACAAGATCAAGCAAACCAATAACATGATTTAAAATGAAAATCAATCCTTAATAAAACAATTAGTTTTTTTTTCTTAATCTGAAAGAATATTTGTGGTATATTCTCTAGAATACCCCTTGATTAAGGTCAGTATAAAATATGTCTTTGAATTTCTGTATCTTCAAAGTTTGGTGTCAGTACTTAAGATACCTAGTTGTTTGTGGTGGTGGTACTTTGTAGTTGCATTAAAAAAATAAAGACTGCAGAGGAACCTGGGTGGCTCAGTCAGTTGAGCACCTGACTTCAGCCTAGGTCATGATCTTACCATTCCCGACTTTGAGCCAAACGACAGGCTCTGTGCTGAGAGCTCAGAGCCTGGAGCCTGTTTTAGATTCTGTGTCTCCCTCTGTCTCTGCTCTTCCCCCACTTGTACTCTGTCTCTCTCTCTGTCTCTGAAAAATAAAAATAAACATTAAAAATTTTTTAAAAATAAAGATGGCATTTATAATCAATGTTTTTACACTATGATGGTCATACCTATATTTTTACTTAAAACTCTTAGCTGTGAGTTTATAATATGGAGAAAATTAAATTATACAGTATGGAGTGAATAAATTATCTGACATGAATTTTCACTTTTACCAACATTTGTTTAAATGTGTCATAACTTCCCTTTGGGGGCTGGAGTTTATAGAGAATTTTTGCATTTCAACATTTAAAAGATAATCCATATTTATATATGCTTAGTTGAAAGACTGACTCATTCTTAAATCTTCTTAGTGAAATTTTACAAGGCTATTTTTCTCCTCTTCAGAAACAGGAAATGTGATATAATGAACACACCAAATGAATGTCAGTAGGATAATCTCAGAATACAGACTATATTCTAGGACTACTACTTTTTTAGAAAGCTGTGATTTTGTTTTTTTGTGAACTTTTGAAATAAGAGGAGTTTGAAGCACAATTTACTTAAAATTCTCAAAAGCTCAAAATATCTGAATCTTAACTACATTTATAACTCTTTGGTTTGCAATTTATTCCTGATCCTTAATTTAGTTTTGAACGTATCCATCCTTTGGTATCCATTTTTATTTTAATATAGCAACATAGAAGTAGCCCCCAAATAACAGTTCCTTAGTACTTAAAATCTTAACTATATTATTAATACTTGTAGAGATGATCAATTGTTAGATAAAAATAGGTATCTATAGATATAGATATCTATTTAAATTAGTATATATCTGTATATGTTTAGATGAGAGTATTTATGTGTCTTTGTATTCATTCAAATATCCTGGATACTTAGAGTCTAGGTTTATTTACTTATTTTTAAGAGAAGCATTACAGAATTTTAGGACAATGGAATAATAATATTTTTCCACTAGTTTTTTGAGAATTTATTGGAATTTTGTGGAATGGATAATTTAAGTTCATATTGATATTAGGTGTATAATGAGAGGTGTGAACATACACTGATTCTTGCTGCATGAGGTCTTGGCCACAGAGCAACTCCTAAGAGCATATTGGGAAGCAGGGATGGGACTAGAAGGGAGTAGGAGAGCACAGAACCATATATATATATGTATATAAGGTCAGTACATAGTATGAAGCACAGGAAGTCAGAGACTCTTTAAGAGAATACAATAATTTGTGCACAGACATTACCACAGGTTCTATATTTATTTTCAAATATATTTGATATGAAAACATATTTTAACCCATTAAAAGGATTTTAGAAAGACTTATATATCTATGAAGAAATAAAACATGCCTAAGTATACAAGCAAGTGTCTTGTGAAATTTTTTACAGCCAGTCATCATGTTTACCTATGGTAACCATTCATGTTACAGATATAGGCCAAGGGAAAAAATTGTGCTTTAGAAGTTCAATCTTAGTTTACCAGTAGGAAAACCTGGGGAACCTTAAAAAGAGGTAGTTTATAGATACTTTATTTTAAGGTCAATTTTTTGTTTATCAACAGCAAAATAAAAGTACAAATATAGTAAGGTTGATTAGAGCACATGACTAGGAGATATGGAGCAGAGATTTTACTACCTTGGCTATAAACTTGTTATTTTATTCAGTAAAACTGCATTTTATTTTCTGCTTCAAAAAGGAGTACACGCATAACAGCTTTCCTCACTAGGATTCTGTGAGATTAAAAGATGATGTATACATTTTTTCTGAAAATGCAGTATGGATGTAACTGAGTATAATTATTAACACATTAAAAAGTACTAGTGCTGATATCTTCAAAGTAGACTCTTCCCTACATTTTCTGAGTTTAGTTTTTCCTTTAAAGAAAAAAATAATAAGTTAGATTTGAAAGCATACAATTAAACTAATTAATTAAATTCTGAGAATATACTAGTAAGTTGGTGTACAAATGGAATATAAAATTTAATTTGTGGAAGATTGAGGTCTTTAGAATATTTTGTTTCAGTAAGAATAATAGTGGTATTAGTGTGATATTATAGAAACAGCAATGAACATCGAATAAAAAGACCCAGCTAGGTATATATTCTGTCACTGTGAATTATGAAAAATGATATGAAATAGGAGAAATACTTTGTAAAATGATAAAACACAATTACTGATATTATACCAATTTTAAAGCATTTTTTAGAAACCCATAGTAATTGAAATATTATATATACTATTCCTTATTTCTCCCAATAAAATTTTGAATTGAATACACAGCACTATAACACAATCACATATTTATTTTATCTAATAAATAAATATAATAAATGTATACATCTAATACAAATGTTAATATAATGCAATCTAGTATCCTTTCGAGTAACTGAATTCTAGACCTTTGTTATAGATCACAAATATGATTTATATAAAATTAAATTATAATTTCTAAGTGTTTTAAAGTTAATAATCTATCATTGGTGTTTTTCTGATTTCAAAAGGTGAAAATAAATAGACCACACTAATATGTGGAGTAGGAGCTGTGAGTCCTAGTAAGTAGTTTTTCAATGTTGTCCTGTTGTTTTTTAAAAAACTTTTTTTTTTTTACAAAGTTTGACTTTATTTTGGCATTTGTCTTTTTGATATAAAGCATGGAGCCTAAGAAAGTAATGAATGAGGCTCAATATTGATGCTAAAAGGTATAATTCATCATTACTTCAATGACAGTCAGGTGATGCAGGATAAAGTTGCCGAAGGACAACACATACTGCACTCATGTTGAAAATGTTTTCTTATCTTCTATAATTACCTTTAAAAATAGCATTTGTTTTTTTAATTATCATGGAAGCCAAACTAATTTATCTAAGACTACACATGAATGAAATACCAATATAAATCTTAGCTGCTTAATCCTTTAGTAAGTGAATAAAAATCTCCATGGATTTATGTTTTGAAATAGGCTTATTTCTCCTTCTGTAACTAGGAATTTTGTAGTTATGTTTCTAAATCTTCAACATTTAGCTCATAAATTGTTATCAGTTATCTAAGTGTTCTTGTAGCCTATTATAAGCCAAGGATGAAGCAAAACACTTGAAAAAATAATTAATACATAGGAGCAGGAGTAAACAGGTAAGCAAATCATTTTAATATAACACACTAAAAACGGTGATAATAATCAAGGAAAATTGAATAACTCCATCTTGGGCAAAGTTGATATTATTGAATTGACCAAACTAAGGGTTGGCTTGAAGAAAGTGATAAAGTTTGCCATTGGACATGTGGAAGTTGGATACTTAGGTCATCTGCATAAATATGTCATGGAAGTAGTTGGATATATGAAGTTGGGGCACAGAAAGAAAAAGAATCCAATATGCATTAGCTGATGCAATACCACTTGTCATATGTGGGTTTAAATTAAAAATAAATTAATTAAAACTAGAATTTAGTTTCCTCAATTTCATTAGCCACAATTCACATGGCTAGTGACCACATATGGCTAGTGATTACTGCATAGGATCACACAGATTATAGAACATTTTCATCATTACCAATGGTGCAGATGATGTCACACTGCAATATTCATACAGAAGTGTAAGAATGACAAGGAGAGGACAGAATACCCAATGTAAATGGCTTATGGATACATGGGACAAGATATATTCTAAGAAGGAGGACGTGTTCAAAAGCATATTCCTCCACAACCTCACACCATTAAGATGGCTACTATTAAAAACAAAACAAAATAGAAAATAGCAAGTGTTGACAAGGATGGGGGGAAATTGAAACTCTTGGGCACTGTTCATGAGAATATAAAATGGTGCAGCTGTGGCATAAAACTGTATGGCAGTTCCTCAAAAAATTAAAAATAGAATTATCATTATGTCCACCAATTCCACTTCTGGGTATATATCCCATTGAATTGAAAGTGAAGTCTTGAAAACATATTTCTACACCTATATTGATAACAGCATTAATCACAATAGTGAAAATATGGAAATATCCCAAGTGTCATAGATGAATAAATAAATAAGCAAAATGAGATGTATATATACAATAGAATATTATTCAGCCTGAAAAAGGAAAGACATTCTAATATAGGCTACTTGAAGACATCACGTTAGTGAAATAAACATGTGTCACAAAATGACAAATACTGTATGATTCCATGTATATGATGTACTTAAAGTAATTGAAACCAAGGAGAAAGAAAATAGAATGGTGGTTGCTAGGGGCTGAGGTTGAGGTGGGAATGGAGAGTTTTTATTTAATGGGTATAGAATTTCAGTTTATATGATGTAAGAGTTATAGGGATGGACATTGGTCATGGTTATACATTATGAATGTATTTCATACCACTAAACTACACACTTAAAAATGATTGATGGTAAATTCTATGTTATGTGTATTTTACCATAATTT